AGTTTCCAAAACTTCTTCCAGTTTAGGGAAATAAACCTTATTTTCTCATAACAATAGAATGGGTGCTGAAAGTACCCATTTTGCAAGCACTGAAGTTCCAGAGAAATCAGACGCTTTGTGAAAGAATTCTGACCCATCAAGTCTCCTGACGCTTGTCCAGCAAAGACAAATAACATTTTCGTTTCCAGCCTTTCTTCCACTGGATACACTGCCCTTTTGGTTTCACATAATGAAGTAATTTTAGATTAGAATCTCTGCATGTCATTTTAAAGATCCTGCAAAAATGAAGAATGCCATTAATGGAGGGTGCTCTGCTTAGGGAAGTGCAGTCTCTGAACAGGCTCCACACTGCCAATGAGCTATATGCATCTGGGGCCAGGACATACCCCTTGACAAGGGCAAAACATAAGGGATTGCTCGTGAGCATAGAATAGAGTCCCTAGTATTTGACAGGCCTCCGTCCAAAATAAAATATGCTTTTGTACATTCAAATGGCAAGATCTAAATACATGATCCATAAACAGATGCTGGTCGTGAATCATACATGAATGTTGTGTGCTTATTTGCTAATAAATAAGCAGTATTACTCACAAAATTAAATGCTAGACAATGTCTTCTACACCTTGAAGGGTTTTTTTTCCCTAAATACAACAAAAACTCCACCCATGAATATGCAGAATCCAGTATATGCAGTCAGTTGATCACATCTCATATGATCACATATATGAATATGCAGTCAGTTGATCACAGACCGACTCACAGAATCTACAAAATGGCTTTTAAAAGATTCACTAGCCATACAACATCAATTCCACATGAATTTCAGCCGAGAACATCTCCCAGCATTATTACAATATGTTTAGTATTCATTTATGCATAAATTGCATACATTCAGTTCTTCATTATTTTTCAGTGCATGTACATTTGAGATGGGCACATGCCACCACTGTAAAACTATTGCAAAGGAAAAAAAATCAACTTAGAAAAAGAAATTAGAAAAAAGTTTGACTCACATTTACCTAATGGCCTCTTCAGTTCCTATTAAGCCAAACTCTCAGGGAGAGTTTCTTAGTCTTTCAATCGAGATTTCTTAGTCTTCAATCAGGCTATGACGGTTTATACAAATTGAGTATCTTGTGATGATGTGCTGAATTTGGGGGGTTAAAAACAAGCAAACAAAAACCATAGAGGGGATTCTGCTGAAATCCCCCTCTTGGGTATCTCAAACCTGGAATTCCATCTCTTCCCATTACACAGACRGGAAGGTAGACTCAGGCGTGGACTACAATGCCAGACTTTCTCCTTAACTTATCATTGCACAGACTAATGGAAAAAAGCAGGGACTGCTCTGCTCAGGGATAATGACTCCTCACAGCTGCCCACAGCAGATCAGAGAAACAATACAGCACAGAAAGCCACTGAGCAAGTCATCTGGGGCCACTGTCACCCCACTATAGCAGCTTTATTGGTGTGCAAAATTTGCTTTTTTAATGTGGAGGAAAAAAAAAACTATGTATAAGTAACTCTGATAACTGTGCCCACAGCTGCCTAGGTTTCTCCCACACATCACATATGCAAGCCCATTTCCCAGTCCTTAATYGGGGAGTGCAATCCAAGATTTAAAGCTCAGATGTTATCACAAACTGATGGGAAACCAGCTGCCCATTACAAACACTGAACAGGTGCATTTCTAAGGCAAAAATAAGACGACTTCACATTCCAACAAACATTTTGTAGTTTTGTCATCCTGAAACACCAGCAGCCAAATTGCTCCAAATTAATGAAAAATGCACATATATAGTCAAAAAGTGATGAAATGAAAAACACACAGAAAAGAAGCTTCTATGATTTCAATACAGATCAACAAGGCCAAATTAAAACCTTAGTACTTCACAATCACAGTCAAATATTACTTTCGATAAAAACTGACAGACTTATTCAGAACTTTTTTCTGGAAAGATAATTACTTTTCCTTGAGTAGGAAAAAAAAGGAGGAAAAGGAGGGGAAAAAAAAAAGGTATATTGGTTGAAAAAAAATGTTGGAATGAGGAAACAAACATGACTTGCAGAAGTTAGACACACACAGGAGGCCTTGAGAGCTGCCTCCCGAACCACCACTCATCAGCGCTTGGCCTCAACAAGCAGGCAGATCACCAGCAGGACTGCAGCCCTAGCAAGGGTGGGTGGAAAAAGAAAATATAGGCAAATTAGCAGGTGAAAAGAAACGTTGGAGACCAAAAAACTACTGAGGTCTCAGGCATAGAGAACACTGTTCTGGTATTAGAAGGTGGTTTCTGGCTCCACAGCTTGGATGGTCCTCCAATGTGCTAGTAACAGATCCCTTTGGGATGTGTCTATTCCATTATTCTTCCTCATAACCTTCTGTTATTGTATTATATTACGCAGTATATTGCATTTTGCTTCACTGCTGTGCCTGAATGAGAGTGCAACGCTTCAGAGTGTCATGTCATTGCACCACTCTATGGCAATAAAACACATACCGTCACACAGCCAAGACGAAACTTTACAGTGCCRCAACCCTTCCACGGCTATTTGTTTTTCATTCTGAATATTCATAGCAAGGCGCAAATCACAAGGGCTTTTCATGATCTATGGGGCAAGTAGTTAAGAAACTAGCAAAAAGAACAGTCTGTTTCCAAACTAATTGCTCCATCATGATTTCTGACACAGAATATGTGGTTATCACTACTATTAAGRACCCTACAACCAGGCATTGCTGGAACCTGATCCAATAAACTCACCAGAGCACCCATGTTTGAGGAAGAAATTGAATGATATCCTCTACCAGAAGCAGATTTCATCTATTTCCTGCAGATAAAGCCCTTGGCGTTGCAGGGGAGGACACATCATTTCAAAGACCGCAGCGGCCTGTGAAAACCCCGCGGACGCAAAGCCCTCAGAGCAGGAACACACAAAGCAGCCCGCAGGGCAGGAACGCGCTGCCCGCCAGACCACGGCGCCGGCTCAGAGGCCAGGACATGCTGCGGCGCCAGGATGACTCCATGCAGCGTCTCCATGGCCTTCTCTTCCGGCTCCCACCGCGGAGATTCCCGGTGTCCGAGCGCAGGGCRCCAGGCCGCACTGCAGCAGGACCAAGGCAGCCCTTGCGGCTTCTTCCACACGGCTCCGCGAGGAACCTCAAGAGCTACGACCATTAAAGGGCCACCATAAAGCTGCTTTCAGAGCTCAGATTTTGCTTAAAAGAAATACTCCTCGTGATTATTCCTTCCAGTGTTATCTATCGAAAACACTGATGGCTCCGTTAATATCCTTTCTGACAGAAGCATAATTGACTAGCGGCCCCCAAATATTTAAATTGACTTCTAACKCTGAATTTCACACAAGAAAAAAGCTCAGTTATGTAATGACTTGATCTCCCCCAGTTGATGTCACAGCAGTGAGAAAACAACTTTGGTGCCTTATTCATTTATCATTCATATCTAATGATGATAACCTTAAAAAAAATCAGATTCATAATTATCCTACCTTGAACTATCTCTTCACTAGACYAGCTTTATGAAAAGCACGTCGCAAATACTTTTCTTCAAAAAGTCCAGACTCTAGTAGCAAACAGTACTTCTTWTAATGAAATTATTCCCCCTTCAATAACACTGCTGGAACATGAAAGTACGGCCCAAGGCTTGAGAGATGCTCAGTTTATAATTAAAACTGAAGTGCTGAAAAAGACCACAGTCAAACCAGCAAACTGAATAAAAGCACAGCATCGGTCAAGACTATTCCAACAAAAATATAAGTTTTAAGAGTTTACGGTTACTCCTTTTTCACTAAAACGGCAGACAGCTAATAAAAGCCAGTATATCAAAACCCCTGCACAAAATCTCTCATAATTAAGATCATGTTCACAATCACATGCTCCAAAGTACAGCACGGCTTTGCCATCACCCCCTCCAATTCCATTAAAGGCCCCTCTCAGCAGCAGATGTGCATCGGTGCCTCCCAAAGGAACACCWTGATGTCAATACAACCCTTGGATCCAGGAAAATTATGCATGTCTGCATCAAAAAGAACACACCAGCTACGCRTTATTTTTTACACACATTTAGGATAGTTACGCTCAACCCTTGGTGCAAAGCTGCGCACGGCGACGCTGCCAGCTCTCGCAAGGGCGACGGGGCCGCGGCCTCCAGCGCCACCACGGCAGGAACACGGAGGCTTCTCCTGCAGGCCTGGCGGGAGAGACGGGGGATTTTCTTCCCCATCCCGCCCTTAACAGATTTCAACTCGTTTTCACAACAAGTTCCACCCTCAAATAAGGTGCTGGTTCAGTAGGAAAGACTTCAGTAAAACTTGTGTTCACCTAGAACTAAAGGCTCGGTCTGCAGTTAGTTCAATTTTCAGATGCAAGAAGTATGAAAACACCTATTACTCCGAGGCCATTAAAATCACAATTCTTTGGCCAAGTATCAGTCTCCACCAAGGTAAAACTCTGAGTAAAGGGAGCAGCAGTCAAAAACACATTCACTTATCAAAGAAAGTTCCACATCCAAGCTCTGCTTTTAAACTTTTATTTTTTTTTTAAACAAACAAACAAAAAAAGTCTTCCACTTAAGAAAATTAGGTTGTTCCCATCTTACATTTCATAATACAAATCTGGAAAAGCCCTATAAAAAATGAAAACAAAACAAACAAACAAACACAACACAAAGACAGGACTTCAGCCAAATACTCAGCTCCTTATTGCTGTAGTTGTAACTCAAGTCCCTTTAAAACCTTGTCTCCCTTGTTTGTAGGGAGAACAGGTTTGGAACACTAGCAGCAATAGAGAAGAACCTTTGGATCCTCCACACGGTTACACTGCTGAGCGAAAAGAAGCAGAAACCTCCTCTCCACCCCCATTAGAACATGAAGTTTTACGTAAAAGTAYGATTTAGTTGGCCGCTAGAAAAACAGTGCTGAAGTGCTACCCCAAGGCTGTACACGTGCCCACGGCAGCGGAGAGATGTCCCTTTTTCCCCGGCTACTTACGCGCCACAACCACGGCCCTGCTCCAAAGGACACGGGTGGCCGTCGGCCGGTCTCAGCTCTCCCCTCTCGGCCACCCTCCTCCAACAGGTGGGAAATAGGAACTTCAACTAATCGCTACTTCCAAATTCAACTGGTCTGCACAAATACACTGTTGAACAAAGTTTGGACAGCAAACGGTACACCTGAGTTCAGTCATACAAACTAATTTTTGTAGATAATGTTAGATGAAGGTATCTATGTTCCTGATATGAATCTAGGTGTATTTTCTTACAAAAATGCATTAATAGAAATACCCAGGCAAATACATACCGTACAATAGCAAAAGCTTTAAGCCCCATTTAATAAGATGACTTTTCCATTAAAAATAGAAGGCAATTAAGATTTACTCAAAATTACAATTAAGAAAAGCTTTCACAGTGCAATATTGAAACTGTCACAAAGTTAAGAAAATACTGATATCAAAGTACAATCACAATGTTAAAATAGACCAAACTACTATACAAGGGCATCTTGTAAAATTAAAAGGAACGAACACAACAAAGGGGACATCCCATGTCCCATCTCTACATATCTGGTGTCTTCGTCTTCGGAGCCATAAYTGGGTCTTTCTCTCTTTGACATCGCAGAAGCCTCGTTACGACCAAGAGGTTCACTCTTCCTCGCAGGACGACGCTCTGACCACGATCACTTCTCGCAAGCACCGTCTTCCTCACTGCACGATCTCGAAGTAGTGCAGGATTGCCATGATGTGCTGAGGCATGAACACGTAGCCCGTGTACAGGGCCATCCCAACCACAGAAACCAGCAGGGAATCTGAAGGGCCGGTAAGGAAAAGAGCATCTCAAAGTGCACTGGAAGGCACTTTCCAATAAATAAGGATAAGCAAAGCACTGAAACCTATTTCACAGCATTGCATTTTAAATCATACGTGGTCAAATGCACTCAACTATTGCAGCTCTAGGAAGGGCCTACAGGAGTATGAAAAGCAGAGCCCCAGCAGCAGTGATGAGCTGARCTATGGAAGGGTGTCCTGGTAGTTGCCTACTGCCTCGCCAGAGACACAACGCACAGGCCAGCATGGGAAGCTAGGAGAGAGGGAAAACTGGCAGTGAGAAGGCAGGAAGTCTTACATGCAACCTTCTTAGGTGTGGAACAAAGCTTCCAAGTGTCACATCTACCAAAAAAAAAAAACCTATATATGTGTATACAAGCACGCACGCACATATATATGTATATATAAATATATATGCATGCACACAGTGTGAGAGACAGAAAGAACAACTGCTGCAAAAAGAACATCTTATATTTTGAAAAGAAAACCAGAAGAAAAGAAATAGATGAGTGGCTACATGAAGCTTCCTACTTCTGGACAGTCTATTCATTTTTAAGAAAACAGTCATTAAACCTGGCCTCAACCTCCTAGAACAAAAAGATCTAGGAAATTTAATTTCCGAGGCACAGCTCCATATCCGCTGAGGAAGGGCCGCTGCTGACACAAGAAGGCAGCGGACCTGGAACCCGTTCCAGCTGTGGGTGTCCTGCAGGCGTCGAGTCCCTAACCTGTCTGCGTGTTTCTCCACCCCCTTATCACCATCACACCTCTCCTCACAGGCAAGGAGCTCACCCTGTGCGCTGCTCGTCGCTCGTCAAGCACTTACAAAACCCCATCCCTGGGGGAAAGGAGCAGCTCGAGCAACACGGCCAGGCGCGTTGCTGCTGCTGGCCGCTGCCATCCAGATGTGCCTTTAAAACACATATAAACAGCACCTCTGTGCAGCGGGTCACGCTGCGAAACACGGCTCGCACCAACCTATCTGCGAGGCCAGTTTCAAGATGACTATTTATTAGTTTAACTGAGAACAAAGACCTCTTGTAAAACTTAAATGCAGAAGCCAGATGATAGCTTGTAATGCATACGTACAACTAGACCTTTGTCCAGCTCTGGGATTTTCAACGCTCTGGCCATAGAAATGATGGCATTGGATTACCCAAAGATCACACCAACTAAAAATTTAAGGTTTCAGAAACTCAAGAGTGAAGCAAGTTCTAAAGCAAGTGATAACTTTTGATTTCACCCAAGCGCACGCAATGATCCAGTAAACTTAGCCAGGAACAACACCGTAAAGAGCATTTAAGATTAATGAGCCCGATAACCCCGGGAAGCAGCTCTCAGTTTCCACAGGTGGAAGCAGAGGTGCTGCCCGTCCCCGCACACGCAGAGCGGCGGCCGCCCCGCCACACAGCTCTAGGCTGAGCTTATCAGCGCGCAGCAGCTCCCCGGGTATTTTTAGTCCCCGGAGATTACAGCAAGCAAGGAGACGCTGCAAGGAAGGTCAGCAGAGCCCCGCGTGCCGGTGGCACGGGGGACACGACACCGGCTCCGGGAGCAGCCCCTACGGACGCAGGCGACAGAGAAAGGAATAAAATAACAAGTTTCATTCGCCGGCTTGGGACGGCGAGCGATACCCGTGCCACAACATCTGGGCGTTAAGCAGCAATCCGCCACAATAAGCGCGTTTTGTAACAACAGGTAATAAAAACAAGCACCTTGACTTCAATATTTGGCCCAGGCTGGAAAAAAAAAAAAAAAGGTTAAAATGCATGGAAAGAAAAAAAAAAAATCCGCAGGGGTGGCAGGATGAAGGGGAGCGGGGCGGGAAGCCGGGGGGACCGGGAGCGGCCACGCGGGAGCTCCCCCCCGCGCGGGAGGCTCCGCGCTCCCCCCACCCCGCCAGGCCCGGGCCCTGCGCGCGCGCGCCCATCCCGCCGCGGCCGCCAGGGATACTGAAGAGCGTGCGCTCCCAGGGCTCCAGCATGTAGAGCGCCGTCACGAGCAGGTACTGGTAGTAGAGCCACGAGAGCCGCTTCCAGGCCGAGCCCAGCGCCATGGCACCGCCGGCGCCTCCTGCGTGCGCGCGGGCCCCGCGCCGAGTGCGCGCGCCCGATCCCGCGCGGCGGGAGGCGGCACCCGGGCGGCCACGCCCCCCTGCCCCGCCCCGCGCGCTCCCGCCGCCTCCTCCTAATTAATTAATTAAATAATTAATTAAACACAGTTAACCCCCACCCCCCGAGCTGCCGCTCGCCAGCCTCGCTCAGGAGACACAAGCCCCACCRCGCCCCAGAGGGAGCCCCGTGGCACAGAGGCCTCCGGTTCCAAGGAAAGGCTACTTCCAGCAATAGCCCCTCCATCAGGGAGACCTCGCTGCCCCTGCCCGCCCTGGCTCGCGGGTGAGCCCCACGCAGCCAGCTCGTACGCAGAGCAGTGGCTACGGCCCGAGGGTCAGAAACCCCCATGCGGGACCGAGCAGCCGGCTGGCCCTAGATAGGGGGGAAGCCGAAGGGATGCGCTTAGCGAGGTCACGGTCACAGAATCACAGAATATTTAAGGTTGGAAGGGACCTCTAGAGATCATCYAGTCCAACCTTCCCGCTCAAGCAGGCACACCTAGAGCATGTGGCACAGGGTGGCATCCAGGCGGGTTTTGAAGACCTCCAGAGAAGGAGACTCCACAACCTCCCTGGGCAGCCTGTTCCACTGCTCTGTCACCCTAACAGTAAAGAAGTTGCTCCTCACCTGGAGACGGAACTTCCTGTGCTCCAGCTTATGGCCATTACCCCTTGTCCTGTCGCTGGTCACCAGTGAAAACAGCTTGTCCCCTTCCTCCCTGCATTCTCCCTTCCTGAACTTATACATATTAATCATATCCCCTCTGAGCCGTCTCTTCTCCAGAGAAAACAGGCCCAGCTCACTCAGCCTCTCTTCATACGAGAGATGTTCCACTCCCTTAAACATCCTAGTTGCTCTCTGCTGGACCCTCTCCAGAAGCTCCACGTCCCTCTTATACTGGGGAGCCCAGAACTGCACACAGTACTCCAGCCGCAGCCTCACCAGAGCTGAGCAGAGGGGCAGAATCACCACGGGACCCGGAGGCACCATGGCCAAGCTGGGCACAGGCCGGGCTACCAGCTGGGCTACCGGCTGGGCCACCGGCTGGGCCTGCGCCCGTCGAGCGGTCAGGGAGCGCGTCCTGCCCCTCGCGCCTCTGCCGCGGGTCTCGGTGGGACCAAGGAGCCTGGGCCCGYGCGCCCCGCGGAGCAGAGCGGGCTGGCAGCCCCTGCACGCGCCACACAGCTCTGCTGCTGCAGCCCCCGCCTCACTCCCGATGCCGGGTGATGAAACCCGAGGGACTAATGGCATGGGAGGGTGCGTGTGCTCATTGTTTGCCCAGCTGCAGGACAGGGCCATGGGGGAGGTAACTGAGAAAGAAGAGCTGTTGKCCAAGACAGATGAATACTGCACTGGCGTATGTGGCCAAATCTGCAAAGAGATTTAATCTAAGCAAAATACCTTTAATACACTCGATCTACGCAGATTTATTTCAACACAAGCGAGCAATGGGAGCATCCACACAGCTAGTGCCTCCGCACAACCGGCTGCAGGAGGTGCTGTCCCCATCCAGGAGAGCTGTTCCTTGCTGCTGGAGGAGTCTTGTGTTGGTGTTGCTGCTCGTAAAAGTGGCAATTATGAAAGCTTCTTTTCCATATAAATGCGTACAAGCAGGGGATTAAGCAAATTAAAGCATTGCTCCTATCCAGAGTTGCCAGAGCAGTATGAGTATGGGGCAAATGAGTCCCAATCTCATTTACTGCCGCCTTTCCCAAGAGGAGCACCTGCTCCCCTGAAATGATGAGGCAACCAAGCAGCAGCAGCAGCAAGAAGCTGCACGAGAGGCAGGGCAAGGCAGGGTGAGAGGCGCGACAGCTCCACACTCCAGGACTGCTCCAGGGGCAGTATATGCAAATAACAACATTCATGCTTTTCTAAGCACAAACTGTCCTCAGCCTTGCACACCTAAACTTCTGGAATGATTAAAGAAAAAATAATAATAAAAACAATGTTACTACTTAGCAAAAGTGGATTTCCTCAGCTGCCAAACATTAATAGGAATTTGTTTTCTAACTGGGAAGCACCATCTGCATTTTACCAAAATTTTAAAAGAATACATGCTTTCTACTCCTGTAACCCACAAACTTTGGTAGTTTGTATTTCCTCCATCATTAATAGTCATTTTCTTAGAGTTTGAAAAGAGAAAGTACTGAGATTCGCATTAAATTCTTTCTCTAAAAACCTCCAAATTTGCTCAGGAAAATAGAAATACAACGCAACGTCAATAAAGGCCATGAGCTGGCCTGTGTAAGTTACTAAGTACACAGACATCACTCTACAACATTAGGAGCAAGCCCCAGGATGTTTGGAAAGCTCTGAGTTGTGACAGACAAGGCAGGATTCCTGCCATGCTCTGCATTTCCAAGGCAGTTATCCACTACATGGTGAGGGGGGGATGTACCCACTGTGCCCGACTGCATCAGGTTTGGCCTGGGAAGGGGAATTTCCTTCTAGCAAGTCCTTCCTCTGGGGTTCTGGCCTCAGCAGAGGTGTTATTCAGGCAGTGACACCGCTTCAAAGCAGCGTTTTCTCACACTGTGCCTTCCTTCAGCTCTTTACATCCTGCTGAGCCTTTCCCAGGCTCACTTCCATTCTCCTGACAGTTTTTCACTTTTTACTCTCTGCTGGCATGGGAAAAGTTTAAGATGAGAATTATTTTGTACAAAAGTTTGTCTGGGAAAAAAAAAAAAAGGCTACAAATGTTACTTACTGATCAAAAATAAAAGTTCACCTCTTGGGAGTCTGCCCTGAAGAACAGAAGGAAGAATGTGATATTAACACTACAGTGTCTTCATAGTCTGACTAGACAAATAGTCTAAATATCAGAGAATTGAAGGTATTCATGCTTCCATAAAGAAGCAGTAAATGTATTAAGCAAACAACAAAAACAAAAAATAGCTCTATAGCCATAGAACTGACCATGAATTTCTTAAAATGTGTGTCACCACAGCAGTTAACAAAGAAATGCAGATATTTTATGTAGATTCCTATTTACGCTACCAGCTCTTAATTATGGATTGTATTACTGAATGCCAGCATGTTGATTTAAATGAGTCATGCGAGAAGCAAACTAGATATAACCAAATTTTCCAATCTGCATGAATAAAAATGTCACCTTTTGACATCTTAATGGGCCAAAAATCCAAACACAACAATTTCTCCTTTATCAGCCCTACCTTCACACAAACAGCCAGGAATGTTGACCTGAAAGAAGCCCTACATCCTGCCTGAGAACTGCTAGCCAGGTTTATCAGTGCTGTACAAATGACCAAGGCAGATATGAAAAAACAGTCTATACAGGATTTATTCTAAGCAGCTGTTCCAATACATATGGAGATAATGTAGAGTATTTACACAGCAACKATCATAATACACAGACACCATGTTCTATTTACAAAATTCTAATTTTCAATGACACAGCCACCAGTGGTTTGAGGGAATTCTCCCCAGTCGAAGCAGTTAACTGGATTCCTATCATAGAATGTTGCAAAATTTCACAATTACAAAGTTCTCTGATGGAAAGATGTATTTAAAAGGCAGCAGATACAAAGGGTCACAGGTGTGCATTTCTGACACTTCAAAGTCTTAAATTGTCCTGTTTTGTTTTGCCCATTAACTGTGACTGGCTAAAACGTTGAAGAAGTGAAAAACTTCATCCTTATCCATCACTGCYACTTCAGTTGCACACTCAGTGCACATTACTGGATGGTATATTTCCTCCTCCTCTTGATTTGTCTGCATGGAGGCAGCTTCTTTGTTGTGCTTCATTTTCTTGTTTCTTTTATTTAGTTTCTTTCTGTATTTCAGAATTTCCTCTTTGTTAACGGAGCAGTTCATCACAAACATGGCTCTATACTGTGTTTTGTAGGATTCGTGCCTATGAAAAAGGGAAGAAAACGCAAGTCATGCAACAGATAAAAACTCTGCTTCCAAGAAGCTGGTTCACAATCCTCACTGGAAATGGGACTGAAGACAGAAAGTACCACGCCAAAGGGCTGAAGGCCAAGCAAATATAAAGTCTTACAGAAAAAAATAAAAGCACTATAAAATAACAAAAATGGAACTGTTGCTATCTGTCTTGTYTTTAAGGTAAAGTATTTAAAAATACATTGGTTCTTACTAAAGTACTAAAGCAAACACCCCTGGAGCACAATGCCATTACCATTAGCGCATCAGGTATGRCTATTTAGTGCTGCCAACAGGCAAAAGATCATGAAGCAGTGAGTGCAAACCATGCCAATAACGACATTTACACAATAAAACTTTCCTGTAAATTGGAAATTTATTTAGAAACAACCATCACTGACATATAACACCTTAAAAAAACAACATGTCTATAATAAAATTTAAAATCTATTTCCAGCTGCCATTGATGTAATAGCTAAAAAACTCACGCAGGGTATGCAGTAAATTCAGGGCTGCATCAATAAAATAATATCCCTCAGATGGTCTTTTTACCTCAGGTTCAATGAGATCACAGAGGGCCGCCCCAGCCAGCGCTGCCCTGACTTTGCCCGGCTCTGCTGCTCCCGGAGCACCGCGGAGCCTTTTCAACTTACTAAGTTCCACAAAAATCAATCCGTCAACATAGTTTTCTGAGAGCTTAGCAAGCYCAAATACTCAACTATAGCAGTACCAAAAAGCAAAACGGAAAAGAGAGGAAACTCAGCATTTATATGATTTGATGTTACTCTGGAATTTTATCCTCAATTACCAAAACACTCAGTAATTGACAGGTAGGTTATTCCTCATTTCACAGGGCTTCTTCCTCCTTTTATTTTTTCTTAATCACRAGTCCTCCACCTAGCACAGATTAGGAGCACAGCAGCAGATACTTGACAGCTATGAATTCACCTCTTCATCCTTTGTTAACATAGCTATACTCCCAGCCACAGTTGCTTACCTTCAAAAAAGCAAGAACACACTGTTTTGGTTTTGCCTAACTCACCAAAACAAGGCATCTTTGCACAAAAATACCAGCTACCCTGGTGTAACTCCATGCATTTGAAAACTTTTTACATTTTAAATTCTCTATTAAATAAACCAAGCCGATGTATTTTTCTGTAAACAAATTCRGCCTGAACTTCCCATGCAGTCGACATGAAAAGGCTCTTTTATGGTTCACCCTCCCCACTATGCTCAAGTTTTGTCCCGTTCAACTCTTTTCCACCCCGTGTCGCAGGTTAAACTGATCATTAACTCTTCAAACTAGTATTCAAGTCTAAATCTGATTCRCATACACCTGCCTCCTTTTGACTAGTTCTGCCTCCCTGGAGAGTTGAGCAAATCACTAAATACACTAAAAATATAAACACACTGAAAAAAAAAATCACAAACATTACGAAGAGCCTCCTTATTGTTCCCCACTTACCTCTGACAGTCCAGGCACAACGTTGTCATGCAAGCAGGGCAATTCAGGACCGCATCACTATTTGGAACCGCTCGAGGCTTTTGCCGCTGTTGCTGCACTCGTGTCTGATTCCGGTACCTGCCATTTGGAGGAGGGAGGCAAGAGGGGCAACACGGGTAACTATCTGCTGTTGGGCATATCAACTCAACTGCCAAATCTTAAAACATACCACTAAGTGTTTGACTGTTTCTAGACACCTTTTTTTTTTTGCCACACACACAGTGTGTGATTAAAAACACCACCAAAAAAAAGAAACACCTGTATCTTTGCATTTACTTGGTACACAGGATTCTCACTTTATAAGACATATGCATCTGAAGAGTGGATTTATGCTTAATAATCCTCTGTTTGGAGGAGGAAAAGTTTCCAAGTGCAGTCTCAGMAGATGACAAATTAATCTTGCTCTTTTCCATAGATTTACGTGGAGAATTTACTTCATCTGCAACACCCTAAGAATACTAATTTTCTCCTTGACCTCTCAAAAACACGTCAGGTAAGGCTGCTTTGTGCTGTTCGTGATTGATCTGGCTGCCTCGTGTCCTGCTAAATTCTTGGAAAAATAACTTTCCAACTRGAAATGATGTATTTAGCAGAAGTCAGTATTAACAAAGCAATGGCATCATAAGGTATTAAAAATGAAGTTAGCAAGTCTTTAAACCTTTTCATACATAGCACAGCTATTTTGATGAGAATGACAGATAAAAATGGTTTACTAGGAAATTTCAAGAAATTGGAAATTCTGGAATTGTGTAATTTTGAGAGGCAGCCTCATTATGTACATTACATACATATAACATTTTTCAGTCTTCAAAATTTCCTGTGCTGCAGATTCCAAATCAAAGCTCAACAGCAAGCTTTTTCCTTTACATTCAGCATATTCATTTTTTTTTTTTTCAGTTTATGATGTGCATCTTGCAGTTCAAATATACACTGTTTCTTACCCTCTCCTTTGTGAATCTACCCACTCTTGGTCTCGACTGTCTTCCTCTGGGTCATACAGCAGCTCATCATTGGAAAGAATTCGGCGCTGCTGATGTTTTCTTCTTTTCCGGGCATCCTGTGTCACTGCAAGGTTTATGCAAGCTCAGGTCAGCAACACCAGCACCCATCACACACACACCACGATTCTCTACTTACCTAACTAAAATCTGGTTTTCTTCAATCTCCTTTTCTGTTCATGCAATAAGTCTGAACTAAAACATAAGGTCTAGCTCAGCCCTCCTCCAGAGGCATCAACCCAAGGAATTAATACATTGGAATAGTATTCCATAAAGCTGCAGTAGTGATGTTGAGATGATAGAGCATGGAAACTCCCCGTAAAGACACTCCTCACAAGCTGTCCCCAAYCTCCCAACTGATTCTACAGGGCCCGAGGTGGTGCAGCTGTCCCCATATCTTCCTCTCTCCTCAAGCATTTACCTGTTCTATCTTCATCCTCTGAATCAGAATCAAAGTAAACRTCATCGTAGTATTTTGAAGTAGTGGCAAGGTCAGACTGTCCAGTACTTGAGGAAGTACCTGTGTGTAAAATCAGAGAAAATATCCCACAAAAGGACAGCAGAACACATGGTCCAGAACAAGCCCCCATTGGTGAGTTACTCTATCCAAGAGCGTTCTGCTTTATAGGGGTTTGTTCAGTACCAGGGCTACAACTCATCCCCCGGCCCTCCCCATCCACACTGCTTGTGTCACTTCATTCACAGGTGCTCTCTCAGAGCAAAGCAGCTTCGTCCCTCTCACACTGCCTCACAAACTTTGATTAAACTTGTACATACACAAAAAATGCATTTCAGAACCACAAAATTCCAAAAATGCACGAGGCCAAATGCCAATCACATTGGACAGTTTCCACCGAAAATGTATTTCATTGTGGATGTATTTAATGGTTTAAAGGTGGCCACATCTTCCTAATGGCATTCAAAAAAATTTTGCTTCATGAAGAATAAAAATCCTATATTGAAATCAAAACCACTCTATTAAAATCAAAACTTCCTGATTCTGCAGGAATCAAGAGAATTTGCAACTTTAAAATAGGTTAAAAAAACAGGTCTCTGAATGCCAAAGAAAGCAATCTACTGCACTCAAAACCCAGCACAGAAAAACCTCTAGTGCCACTGTGCTGTTTGATAAAGCTTGTAACTACCTACAGGTGAGGGAGAAAGATTATTATCTTTCCTACTTTCTCCACAGATGATTTGGAATTCCACAGAACGCTCTTCCCGTCTTTAAGAAAGGGCTCCAAATCTAGAYAGTATTAGTAGTTGGTGAGCAGAGAAAGTACATGAGACATCAACCTGCTTAAGTTTTACAATTAAGTATGTGGCTGATAAAACCAAGCATTATAGACAGGGGGAAAGAAAGGTTTTGATCCAACAAACAGAAACCACAGAGAAATCTGTGGGGGAAAAAAAAAGAGGAAATCAAGCCCCAAAACAAAGACTTACAAAAGGTGAAGCAGAAGCGTTCCCTGAACTAGTGCCTCGTGCTCATTTGTGCACAAGGGAACAGACTTTCTATGATTTTATGATCTCGGACAGCCCTTAGCTGTCATTCCCACGCACAGAACAACACACGCCCTCAGGTGGGCACCACTTCCCCGGCCATCTCCCAGGCAAGCAGACGCCTGAGCGCACTCACCCGTTTCCACGGCCTTCCACTGGCCTTCCATGGTGCTCACGGYGGTGCTGAGCTCCGCCTCCATCTCCTTCTGGAACTCATCCTCGCTGGAAGACTCGCTCTCCCCAGTGAGGCACTCGCGGAGCAGCTTCCGCTTCTGGTCGGGRGTGCCGTGCAGGAGCACGTCCACCTCGTCCTCGGAGCTGCGCAGGCAAGCGCCACGCGCGCCCTTACCGCCGCTGCCCCATGACCGGCACCCGCTCGCTCCGGAAAGGCGACCCGAGGGCAGCGCCGGCCCGGCGCGCCCAGCGACGCGCGCGGGACCCCCGGGGCCTCCCCGCGGCACCTGCTCAGGGCGCGCTCCTCGTCGCTCGGCTCCTCCACCACGTACGGATCGTCCTCCTCCCGCAGGCGGCTCATGGCGGCGCCCGCCACCGGCCGCGCCGCCGCCTTCGCGCATGCGCGGGAGCCTCCCCCCACACACGCGCAGACACGCACTTCCGGCGGGCTACGTCACGCCACGCCCTCCAACGGTCACCGCGAGCCCCAACGGCTTCCGCCGCCATGGCGGCCCCTGGCGGCGCCTGCGGTTGGGTSCCCTCGTCCCCTTCCCCTTCGCCACCCCCCTGCCCTAGGGCAGGGCTCAAGAGAGACACCCAATACCAAGAGACTTGAAAAAAATTTAATGAGCTAGTAACAGTGAACAACGAGCACTACGCTAAAAACGGTTCCCACAGCCTACTTAAAATATTTACAAGTGTGGTAAGGGTATGTACAGCGCGGCCGTCAGCCCTTGCTCTTTAAAGGCGAGTTCCTTGGGAGCTGCTCCTGCGCGCTACGTGGGAGAGGAGCCACATAGAGTTAGCAGTGTAAGTGCTAGGAGGGCAAAGCGTCRCTGCTAAGGCAGGAGGGCGGCGGGCACCTCCCGCCGCAGCCAGGCTGCTCGGCCGCACCTCGGCCCGGAACGTGCCTCCTTAGGAACATTCACACGTGCAGCGCTCGAGGAGACGTTTACTGCACCGGGCAATGCTTTTGTGAGGCAGTGCGGAGGGTCTGTAAGCACAGACTGAGTTATTTTGGTCTGCATCTCCAAACATAAAAGCCCATCCATCCAAACAGCTGCTGCTCTATTAAAGCCCTATAAAACAGCAGTCCCACTGTGAAGGACAATCTAGCAAGTAAAGCCTAAGTTCATGATATTCCAAAAATCACACAACAGAACAGCAGCTCCTGGAACAGGTTTGTGGTTCAAATGAGACAAGCAACATATAAAAAAGACCAAGGATTCAAACTACATTAAAAAAATAAAAATCAGAGCTCCAAGTTTTAAGTCCAGTTAGCAGACTGAGATCTTTTTCAGGCATTCTTTCTTGGGCGGTACCTTCAGCTTTTTCCTGTTTCAAGTACAGCTTCTTATTTTTAAGCAAAGAATGGGCAATATTATCTCTCCTTGGTGTCCTACACACTTTCTGCTACTCCACTTTGCCTTCTGCAAAGCAACAAAGAAGTTCCCTTAAAAGYATTTCTGCCAAAGAAATTGCAAAGGCAGCCAAGCCCACAAAAATTTAAGTACTGTGGATAGGAAAGTCATGGACCACCTGAGAGGCAAATGGCTAAACCTGAGGATGAGAGCGAGAAGTTACTGGGCGAGTAGTYAGTGTCGGACCAATCCAGGATTCATCAGTGGTTTTACAGGATGAATACAGAAAATGCTAATAAAATTAATGTGATTTACTAGAAAATATTAAGCTTACAGATGATACAGTGTCTGCATATATTTTAGAAAAATCATTGATTTCATGGTTTATTTTACAATAATTGGATTAGTCTACAAGTTAAGGCAAACATACTAATGCATTTGCTTTTCTTTTTAAAATGATAGTTATAAAGGTTACACAAAGTTCTCCAAAATTTCTAAGAAATGTTCACAATTAAAAAAAAAAAGATTAAATTCCTTGGTATCAGTACATGGAGAAAACTATGACAGGGTATACAATGCATTATAGTAACAATATCGAAATATCTAATGGTAATATTTTGTCCATTTGAACAGTATTTCAAATGCCAACTTCAGAAATTACTTACAAAGGTAAATAAGATTGGCAGCCATATCATACTATTCATAACATGAACATAATTATATTGGCTACTTTCACACAAACAGAGCATTTGGTTTCTGAAGAATGAAAGCATAGAATGATTAAATAAACATGAATATGTATGGATAACAAGTATGCTGTTGCTTCATATAGTCTGGAGCTACTTTTCAGATTTTGTTTTTTTAATTATTTTGAAAAGAGGAGGARCTTGCTTATGTGTACTTTGTCAAAGGATTTCTCCCGGGAATCTTAAATGCCTATTTAAAGACACAAAAACAAACATCCAGAGGAGAGCAGCCCTTGTCAGTGGGAGGACGGAGTGTTGCTTATGTGTCACCATTTAACACTGCCAGGCAGCTCTGCAGCAGCTGTAAATTACCCTGTAAAAAAATACAGAAAACTATGACCACATTCCCCTATTTTCTTCTTCCCTTTTGGCAATTGCTATCTAAAGAGATCTTTTTACATTCMCCACTGAAGGAGAAGAGATGTGTATTACACATATGCAGAAATATTTAAATAACTCATCTTCAAGATTGCTCCTACACAGTAACACTGGGCTGTAAAACTTAAAAAAAAAAACAAATAAAACAAAAACAAACAACAACAAAAAAYCCTTGAGATACAAAATAAGCATTTACTGACCTTTCCATGTTTCTTCACAATTTGGTTACTAAAGCTCTATTTTCTGGGCGCACAAAAAAAATACTGCAGAATATTCTTTTAGCAATGAAGGGCACAGTTAAACCATTCTATTTGTATAGATTAATGGCAGTACTATCATTGAAATATTATATGCATAGCACAAGTATTCATATACTGAAGAACACTGGATTCCTTAAGCAATGGTAGCCATTTCTCAGCGCTCACCATCTCCTGCCTAACATATACACTTAAGTTTGCAGCCTCGACCCTTGTTTTAAAGGCATGAAAATGCTAACTTATTTAACATAGTTAAAACATTCAGTATAAAGCATAAAGGCCAACTTTCTGATTTCTGAGTAACTTTTAAAACCTGGTGGTTATAAAGATACCCTTTTGAATTAAGCAAATAGAGTCCACAAGTAAGGAGACAGAGAAAGCCAAGAATTACTTTCCAGAATAAACAGTATTCACATTATTTTGTGCATTCATTTATGCTTAGATCACTTTAAACTACTAACAGCTCACTAATAAATAACTATTGGATTTATTCCCAGGTAAGAAGTCGCTGTGTACGAAACAAAAATTTAGGTTATTAAGAATGTTAAACTAAATAAAATGAAAATTAAAAAAAATAAAATGCAAGTAAATACTCTGAACATCCAAACATGGGAGAAACCGCTTCAACCTAGTACACCTTTCAATATTATTAAAAAAAAAAAAAAAAARCACACTGACRGTGGCTCCAAAGAAAATTGCATGCAACTGAGCATTATTTGTAGTTATATTTTGCATATTCTTGATAAATAGTTTATTTAACTATCAAAGGATTTGTAACTCTTGCTGTATCAGATGAAAGTGACCCTCAGTAAACGGGGGAGGACAGAAGTCCCTGAAAAGCTCAGAAACCATAGCTATCCCTCACTAGGATACCTGCAATTAAGCAATTAACAAAGTTAAAGGCTTCGGACCAAAAGACTCCTTAGTTTGCATACATGTCTACAGAATCATTTTGTCTCTTCCAGAAGACTGCTACTTCCATTAAGGCTTGAACAGATTGGGTTTTTATGCTTACGCTAGCAAAAAAGCAGTCACAAGCTACTTCAGAGAGTTCCTAATTCTATGATACAGACAGGTTCTTACATGCAAGATGCATGGAGACTCGGGGGTCTGTCTTGGCAGAGCACAGAAGGATTCATAAATCTAATTCTGTGTCACTGTGACAGCCGATCACTAGCTAGGAATGAGGTCATGAATGAAACACAGTATTTCCTCCATGTGAAGTGTGCTTGTGCGTGCATATTACCTATAATGAAAGTGTGCCAGTGATCTTTTGCCTCTTCTCAGCTCCTAAGCATGAAGTATATTTGTAATTTACAGGCTACTATGTAACACTGTAAAGAAGACAGGGTATTGAAGAGGTCATTCATATAGCAATCATTTACAGACACAGTCAACCAGTTTACTGAAATTTCACAGGTGAAATTTGAGGGGTGAAATTTTAGACAGATTCAGCTTCATCAAGTTTACAAGGCTCTCAAAAACAATCTGATTTAAATTATGATAAACTAAGGGACAACAGAGGCTGTGAGTCATGGCTCTRGGTGCTCTATTGGACATTCCCGTGCCTATTGCAATGTAACTCTACAACATCCTATATTTTATGATTAGCAGAAAAAGTGTTTCTTCACAATTCCTAGATTACTAAACACTAGGCAATGACAGAATAATGCCAGCAAAAATATGGGGTTTTTTTTCTTTCTTTCTTTTCTTCCGGGAGAGTCAGTAAACTGACAAAGCATTTAATGAAAACAATTTGCTTTGGGTTCTGGTTCCTCCTCTTCTGCCAATTCAAAATAGAAATTTGTGGCCAGTAAGGCAGCAAATTCTTCTTCCACTAGAACTCAGAGGCAAGAGCTTATATTAAGATGCATAGAAAAGACATGTTTACATTTTTGGAGAGAGATTGCTGTCTTAGTTACAATTTGTATGTCAAACATCAAACCACTCTAAAAGCATAGCCAAGGCTCTAAGAATACATCTAACACTAAACATTTCTCTGTTTTGTGAAGGAAGTATATACATTAAGGTATCAAAATGCTTCCATTTTTAAGTACCTTTACCTTATCTAAAAATAATTTATTAAAAATAAGCAGAAAACTCCATATAACAGCTTTTACCTCCGTCTTACTGCACAGCTGCACACATAACAGAGCCAGCCCAAGGGGAAGGGACAGTCTTGCATCACTAGCCTTCTTGGCAGCAGTCTGAACTTTCATCAACTTAAAACTATTCTCAAAACACAGTCTGATTTTCAGTTAGAGCCTCGTAAGATATGCAGCGGATTAAAACAAGTAGTTTAGAAGAAAGTAATACAAATGTAAATTGGCACAGTCACCATGATACATACAGTGTCCTTGCTTTACTAAAAGCCTGACTTTCACCTCCTTCTCGAGCAGTGACTGCTTTATTAGCAGCCCCACTGGCAGATACAGCCCAGGGAGCAGCAGCCACCTCTCAGAACCAGTGCTGAGTACTTTAGTTGCTCTGACTTCTTTGATACAGTGACCTTTATTTTAGGATTTCTATTTTTCTTTTCACTAAAACCGTACAAGTGCCTTTTAAGCACAAGTCATGCAGAAAAACTCAGTGGGACTGAACTTCTCTCAAGAGCAACCTGTCGGGTGAACTCCAG